ATCATTTATCTTATTAAGCATTTAAGTTATGATTATTATTAGTCATTTAGTATTGATTTATTGATTGATGCGATGGGAATCCTATGACATTCGCAATACCTGTGCTCTGAAATCGGTGCGGCCTTACTGTAGATTAACGACTATTTTTGTGCCTTAAAATTATTGTGTAGTCATCTCCGAGGGCTGTCATCACAAACGCAATCACTTTGAGCTCCGGTTATAATTACTGACAGAGAGAGAGAGAGAGAGAGAGAGATCAAACTTGTATACATGTAACATTATATTAAATTAAATACCCTTTTAATGGAAAATTAAATACACTTGAAATACTAGACGTTGATAGAAAAGTATTAATACATGTGATTGTTATACTAACTTAGTGCAGTTTTATTGAATTGAATGCACTGTATGTTATTAAGTAGTGATAATTAATCAATTGATTAGATATTGAATTGACAAACATAATTTTTCCATTGCTTTTAATACTGTATTAAATACACAAACATTTACGTATACTGTGTATATAAACCAGTATAAGTAAGTTATTGTATTCTGGGTATTATAAACACATTAATAGCTTCAAAACAGTGAACACAAAAAAAAGTTTCATATATTTTATTACTTTTGATTACAACAAAAAACTTTCTACACGTATATGATATACGAGTGTTGAGTGAATATTCAATAATTTATAACACAATTACGAAACAGTATTTTGTGTGCAACACATAAAAGTACTTTATTTTATATTAATATAAAAACAAATTTAAAACATTAAATTATTTCTCATAAAAAGGTGCTTTACTAAACTCATATGATTCAATCACCAGGGTGAAACCAAACTGCTGAGCAAACATGTCGATGCCATCGGACACCGTACCCGTGATCTACATCCCGGATGAGTTGCGCCAATCGGATCGCATACAGCGTCTGGTCAAGCATTTCGAGTCGAAATTTGGTGATAAACCGGTATTCCTGGTGCGGGTGCCCGGGAGGGTCAACATCATTGGCGAGCACATCGACTACGTGGGCTACTCGGTGTTCCCCATGGCTCTCAAACAGGACATCGTGATGGCCGTGTCCCTCAACACCAGTCCCCAGATTGAGTTAACCAACTTAGACGCCGACAACTACTCGGACGTCACCATCGATGCCACGAACCTGGAGTTCCCGCAACCGCCCCAATGGTACCACTATTTCCAGTGCGGCTATAAGGGTGTTGTCGAGCGGTATTGCAACGGTCAGCCCCCTCTGGGTCTCAATGTGGCCGTTCACGGGTCTATACCGCCCAGTAGTGGTCTGTCCAGCTCGTCAGCCATGGTCTGTGCCTCGGCTTTCGCCAC